TAACAAAAGAAAATTAAACAAACTGGAGACGATTAGGTTCTGCTATGGTAGCTACCCCTTTTCATTCAAATTTCAATATTTACTGATCTAAGTTTTGTCGTTAGTTATACCTGGAAAACGGATCTCACGTTACATTTCATATTTTACTCATGAGCAGATCTTAACAGTAGTCAGTTGTTCTGCCCAAAGGATTTTGAGGAACTATCTGATTCTTGCAACGATATAATTATGTGGTTCTAAAGCTTGTTTGAATCACTGTATGCTGATATATAATTAATCTGCTTATAGTGATTCTAAGAGGTAGTAAACCTCATCGCAGAAACTTATTAATATGGGTATATGAATTGAATAGCCCAAAGTACCATCTTTGGTATTTTGGAGATCATAGCCTCTTCTTCGAACCGAAAAATATACTTCAGGAACTAAATATGACGGTGTCGTTAACGTTCTACACGCATTTTCCATTAGAAGTCTTGGTATCTAAGTTCTTTGGCCTTTCAGCATTAAAAAAATCCTATAAAATATCGTCTCATTTTTGATTTTTTCATATCTTAACCAATCATGTTTAGTGTTTGAAGGTCTCTGCAAAAATTTCCAGACAATGCAGTGATAGTTAGAATTTTGAGTTTTCAAATGATAAAATTATATTTCAGCAGAAATATCAAATCACCTTAAGGTTTAAGATTTTATGAAATCATAGGTAAAAACAAATCAAAAGTTGATACAGGTCGCAGAAAATGGGACAATATAAATAAAATATTTAACGCCTCATTTACTATTTATTGAAGGTATTAGTCCCATTTCCAAACTAAGTAGCGGTATGTTGGGGGTTGTGGTTCTCCATAAGTGACAGAATTCTGGTTACCAAAAGTGAATATAGATAAACTTTTTATCATATTCTCAACATAAGAATTTCGTCCCATTGTAATTCAACAAGTTAGGTTCTTAAATGGTAGCTACCCTTCCATCGTGGGAAACATTGAGCGATAAAAACGAAGTTGGTGAAGTTGTACATATTCTTAGCACTTATAGTGTAGGGCACCCGAATGCCCGTGTCCTAAATTGACGTTATCTTCCTTTAATTTGGTGTTTGGTTTTTTATTCTATTTTTATCCTTCGTCCTTCATATATATATTTCTTTCAATAAAACATAGATTATACCATTTGAATGGAATAGAACGAACATTTGTTTGTCGGTCTCCTGTGATAGTATCCTTGTTGCATGAACTTACCGAAAACAATGGAAAAGGACATTTTTCCAAGAAAAAACAACAAAACAAAATAATAGCAGCAGAATCGGCAGCAGCAGATTGTTTACATACCTAAAACGAAAAAGATGAAAATAAAAGATAAATGAATGAATACAAGATTGTATTGTCTTATAGTCCTATAGTTTAAAGTGTGTGCGTGTATGTGTGTGTGTGAGAAAAGTAGATTATTTTTTTTTATAAAATATAATTATGAATACAAGACAAAAAAGAAAAAAAGTAGTAAGACGACAACAAATAAAATGATTATAATCATAAATGAACTTTGATGTAGTTCTTGTGTTTGTTGTTGTCAAATATACTTTAAATATTTTGTTGTTTATCTCTCCTTTGTTCTGCTCCATATTTCCCCGGAAGACCACTCAAAACATTGGAAGCATTTTTTTTTTTGCCAAAAATGCTATATGCCTTCGAGTGAAAATATAATTTTGTTTTGCAAGCAAAAAGTTTTTAATGAAAAACTAAACGGTGTGAATGCTGCCACCAAAACTATTATGAATTTTCCAAATTTGAAAATAAAACATTTCATTTTCAGCTTTTACATTTCCGCTTAACTTGTGGATAAAATCTATTTTTCTTTTTTCCTAAATTAGATTAGTGAAATGTGTGAAAAGTTTGGATTTTGCGTTTAGGGAAAAGTTTTAATGGATTCTTGTTTTTTAATTAATTCACTGAAAATTGCTGGAATATGAAATTATTCATTGCCAAACAGATAATGGAAATAAAATGTAAATGAGATGAATGTTAGTGTTGTTGTTTTTGTTGCTAATGTTGTTGTAGCTATTGGTGCGCTTAGAAATATTCTAATTTAGCATTTTAAATGCATCTTTTTGTGTGCTTTTGGATTTTTAAAAGGATATTAAATTTTAAAATTTGTCACGAGAGATTAAATCCATGATAGACAGAGTTTTGGAAATTTTTACCTGCATTGATACTACTCCAGTATCAATGCATGTAAAATGAGAAGTCTCTTATATTGGTATTTCCCAATTTTCGATGTTTTGAATTTCCTACCCACATTTTCGATCGAAGCGAATGAAACACCTCCATTCCGAAACGTTAAAACACCACGATGAAGTTAGAGGGCATATAAAAATTCCCCACAAAAATATTCACAATAGGTCAATCTTTTGGCATTATTTCCGCTAAGGTTCCGTATTGGCTCTATTTTAGTATTTCAGGTGTTCTGAGCGTAAATTTTTCCCTGCCACCATGTACAGATTTCGCACCTTTTTTCCGTATTGTAAAGGTCTTAGTCCTTTCTTCGAACCGAAGTGACATTAATTCACGAAATTGCTGTATTTCATAAAAAATTTTACTTCAGGGCCTTATTGTGACATACCCTCTAAGTAAATGCCTAGCTCCACTGTAGTATTGTTATGATTCTAAACGCATTTTTTATTAGGACTTTCGGTAACTCAGCTTGATTATGATCAATATTTAGCGGGTCGACGGACCAATAATTTGTATAAAAAATGACACAATTTTCTTAATATAGTAGGAAGACATGATGCGGAAAAGTTCTTAACGTGGTCTTCACAATTTTCATTATTTGTAAGATGATCTTAGCACATACATCAGTCGGAACTGGCCTCAAATGGCTTTTAAAAAAAAATCTTGGCAGAAGATTTTACTTCAGAAATTATTTTGCGACACTCACCACATTTTCGGTACGGTTAAAGTTGTCTTCACCATTTTCTTTATTTGTAAAATCTTAGCATATACATCAAAATTTTAAAAATAAAAGTCCCGACTCGTCCCATTTTACGCTTCTGAAAAACGTCTAGACGCATTTCCCCTTAAAAGTATCGGCAATTCCCCACTTTTTGTATTGTTAAGGTTTTCTTCAAACAGAAAACAAATCGGCCTGTCTTCCGAATTGAATTCGTCGTAATTATGCCTCTGAAAATAACTGACCTCTAAGAAAATCGTATTTCTAGGAATCGGTCTCAGAAATTCAGTTATATTTCCCCACCTGTCCAATTTTTGTGTTCTTTAAATACCATGGCTGCATGTTAGAACTGAACTGGCTGTAGATTAGGCAATCGGGTTCTCAGAGGATAAAAAATCTACCGGCAGAACAATTTCCATGAATTGATATATCCACCATTTTTCACTAAGTCGAAGTGAATAAGCGACCACCTCGCACAAAACATTCAGCATAGGGCTTTGTTGTTTGTTGTTTTAAGTTTTACAATTTTTCCAATCGAAGTTCCCATAAATTTTGGGCTTAATATTCTCAGAAGATTAAAAAAATATATATATATATATATTCCCATAAAAAGTTCAGCATTGTTGTTACTCCATGTTATAATGTTCAGTAAACAGTTTTGTTGTTACTCCATGTTCGGTATTTTTAGGGTTTTCAACAACATTATCCTATCGAAGCGCGTATAATTTTGCATTTGAAATTATTAAAAAAATTAAGCATCATCAGCATAGACACATTGTATGGCATATTCTAACCGCCGAGACTGTAACTGAGTAAGTGAGCAAATAATGTACCAGCAGCTAGCTTAAAATTTATCGAAAGAGATTCATGTTCTGAAATAGTCATGATCATTTTTTAGGCATTATAAAATAAATAGCCGCATTTTCTAACCGCAGTGACTGAAATTGAATAAATTGGGTTTTAACAGGGTAGAAGGACTCCCTCAATGGAATTGAGAATCCATGTTTTGTCATAGCTCTCAAATAAAGGTAAATTTAGGAACAATTTTCAAAAAGGACTTTTTTTGCTATTAACTCTATATTAATGTTCCGCACGGATTTCCACATTGTTCTGACAAAGGTCACATATAAGGCTCGCCCTAATATTTTTTTAAAAGACGAAAACGCATCTTTGAAATGAAGAAAAACTTATCACTGAAAAGATTCACAACAGGGTCATATTTGAACATATCTCCTACGTTGTACATATTTTGGCAAATTTTAAATTAAAAGAAATATATATTAGCATTTTGGGTCCTCCGTGGAATAGGTCCATAGTTTGGTATAATCCTTATTATCTCATCTCGTTTACGGATTAAAGGTCTCAGACAAATGTTATATTAGAATTGTCTGTTATTTTGATTGGTGGTGGGCAAAATATTTCAACGGATGATTTGGTGTATCGCCATTTTCGATATTCTTAAAGACGTGCCAATATATTAAAACGATATGGCTTTACATAAGCTGTTCGGATCCTCAGAGCAATTTTATTACGATTTCATATCATTTTCTGTATTTTAAAATTCATAGTCGTGTAAATTATCATTTAGGGTTCTCTCTGAAAATAATAAACACAGTTCGAATGTAATTACAAACACCTCGAGTTTTTCCAACTTCAACTGAGATGTTGAACTGGTATCAAAAACGCAAATCTCTTGGGGATCGGTGATTTGGGTAGGTTCTACAAATTGGACCTTGTTTCACGGTGTAAAAAATGGTTCAATTTCATACGCATTGAGGGATTTCGCCACTACCTCCTTTAGCTTTGGGAGCTACAATAATTTTTGCCGTTTTTCGAATATTCGTTTTCATAATTATGGAAGTTTGCAGGGCGGAAAATAATCAATAAACGTTCTTAGGTCTTAATTACACGACCTGAATTTTTCTACCTATTTAATTTTTTGTTCCATCTCTACAAAATGACAAATTATAGACGAAAAAACTGTGACTTACAGCTTCAAAATTAAACTTTATTAAAACTTCGAAAATAAAATAACTTTGAAAAAAATAATTCAAAACTAATTATGAAAAACTCAATGGCCGTATTTCATTGAGTAAATCACGTATACACGATATCAATTTAGGGTTTCTACATCTTAAATCTGTTGCTGCGGGATACATGGAATTGATCAGATGATGTAAATCGGAATAAGTCTAAGGAAAAACAAGTATACAATTAATTTTGTATTAAAATTAAAAAACAACCCTACCCCAATATTCCGCCACGTATTGGTATACTGCAACTTAATGACATCCAAATCATCTGAACATAATTCCGTAATTTCAACGAAAAATGCTTCCTCCGGGGTAATGCGTACCTCTACCATATTTTCAGGTAAATCTTTATATTGTAAAAACTTCAAAATTATATCCCTTCTCTTGGCCAAACGATTCCATTGCGAAAATTGAAATTTCATTTGAGTGCTGTGAATGGCCATGCAACAATAGGTGTGCATTTCGGTGGCTAAATGTTTTTCGGAAAAGTATCCTAAAAATTGGAATATTGATGAATGGAAATTCATTGAAATAAAAGAAATGACCTCACCCACCATTTTCAATATAATAGCTGGCATCATGTTCAGCAAAAATATTCAAATAGTTTTCCTTAAACATTTTCTTAAATTCTTTATAATCCTTCATTGGCCGTTCGATAATTAAATACATTTTCGGATTTCGTACAAATTTTCGGGTTGGTTCCGTGACATGGCCCCTTATGCCATTTGGGGTGCAGTACAACACGCATCGAACATATTGGGTTTCCAGTGTGAAAATTACTTCATTATCTGGACTGTAAGGGGAGAATTTGGACGAAATTGGAAATTAAGAAAATCTGGAGAAGAAAGTTCGACAGTTTCTTACTCTTCCTCACTCGGCTCCAAACTCCAATATTTAAATGGGAAATGTTCGTAGCGCCGAAAGGCAAAACCAATATAACCTAAAAGAATAATAAATAATTTGAGAGAAACCAAATTTTTTGAGGGACTATGGGAAGGCGTGGATTTTCACAGAAGATTTTTTGGGAAGCTATCGAAGGCGTGGATTTTCAAAAAATATTTTTTGAGAAGCTATAGAAGGCGTGGATTTTCAAAGAAGATCTTTTGAGGGTCTATCTCAGCTTAAGGCGTGGATTTTTAAAGAAGATTTTTTTAGGGGCTACTAAAGGCGTGGATTTTTAAAGAAGATTTTTTTAGGGGCTACTAAAGGCGTGGCGTTTTAAAGAAGATTTTTTTAGGGGCTACTAAAGGCGTGGCTTTTTAAAGAAGATTTTTTAGGGGCTACTAAAGGCGTGGATTTTTAAAGAAGATTTTTTTAGGGGCTACTAAAGGCGTGGATTTTTAAAGAAGATTTTTTTAGGGGCTACTAAAGGCGTGGATTTTTAAAGAAGATTTTTTTAGGGGCTACTAAAGGCGTGGCGTTTTAAAGAAGATTTTTTGAGAGGCCATCAAAGACACAAGGCGCGGATTTTTAAAGAGGAGTTGTTGAGGGGCTATGAAAGGATTTTTAAAAAAGACTTGTTGAGGGGCTATCAAAGGATTTTTGAGGGGACCCCCCCATTCTCGGGGTCAAAAATGTTGTTGATATAATTGGAATCTACACTAATTAAAGAATGTCCCTACAAAATTTCAAATAAAAATCTCAACAACTCTTAAAGATATAGCCGATTTATTGTGTCAGCATCAAGTGATGGCTGAAGGGTTTCTCAAAATTTAAACGAGTTTTTCTCTAAACATTTTTTTGCGAATGGCGGGCACGATAACTCAAAAACTAATAACCCAATCGACTTCAAATTTTTACACGTTTCTCTGTGAGTGTATAGCTATCGTATGAACTAGGATAAAGCCAATCGGTGAAGATCTTCCTTATTTTTTAACTTGGGATTTGGTAAAAAATCGGCGATTTTTCAAAAATATTTTTTCAAAGGTCCACCATTTGTTAATTTTAGAGCGAAGTCAATAATCCTAGTTCATACGAGAGCCAGATGTGTACTCTTTCTAATACCGTTATAATTTTCGGATTCCGATGTTCCAGTGAGGAGTTATCATGCCCGCCATCAAAAATAAGGACTTTTCTTTAATTACAAAAAACAACAACAAAACAATAACAAACATTTTTTGTAAATTATTTTTCTTAATTTTTAAATCTTCAAATATATATGTGTAAAGTTACAAACCTTAACAAGCATTGGTTTTGATTTACCAGCCCATTGAAAATCTTGGAAAATTAATATCGAGAATGGGGGGGGGGGGGTTCCCTTAAAAAAGACTTGTTGAGGGGCTATTAAAGGGTTTTAAAGGAGAATTTTTTGAGGGGCTATCAATGACCCAAGGCCTGGATTTTTAAAGAGGAGTTGTTGAGGGGCTATCAAAGGATTTCTAAAAAAGACTTGTTGAGGGGCTATCAAAGGGTTTTAAAGGAAAATTTTTTGAGGGGCTATCAATGACCCAAGGCCTGGATTTTTATAGAGGAGTTTTTGGATTATTTTATGTTATTTTTTTTAATTTTTCTTACCCAACCGATCAGTTTGTATGGTCATCGTTCTTTGCTCTTTATCATAATCCGATTGCAGAATATATTTTGTGGTCCAATGAGAATATTGGATTTTCTTTGGTTCTTTTTTGCCAAATTTGTCCACCTTCAACTGAGATTCGGAACTAACATCGAAAACTGAAATCTCTTGGGGATCTGTGATTTGGGATGGTTCTACAATTTGGACTTTACTTGTTTCACGGCGTAAATCGCGTTCAATATCAGGTTTTAAAATGTCACCTTTAGTTTTGGGAGTTGCAACACGTTTAGGCGTCCTTCCAATATTCCTTTCCATACTTATTGAGGTCTGCAGTGCAGGACGATCATATTTTTTGAAAAATTGTTTCAAACGTTTATTTTGCCATTTGGTTTTCGATTTGATAGATTTCAAATCCAAAATTAGGCGAGGTCGGCTTTTATATTTCGATTTGATTGTGTTGAATAGCCTCAGCAATTCAAGAAAAGTTTTGGGAGATTTGTGATCTTCAGTCTCCTCACTATCGTTTTCCGGAAGGTATCTGGCAATGCGTACCAATTCTTCTTTGGGATAAACGGCATGCAAACTTTCCGGATTATTTTGCATATCATTGTAGGAGAACACTTTTTTAAGTGTTTGTTTCTGAACCAGATCCTCGTCATGCGTTCCATGATGTTTCCGAAGTAAAGTTCCACCTTTGCTTTTGGGTTTATTGCGAAAGGCTTCGAGCTCTTCTTCATGTAATTCTTTGGGAAATTTCAAAGAGGAAATAATACGCGGCACACAATGCCTTTCCAAATTTCGAACTTGTGATTTATTCAAATTCCGAAATAAATAGAAATCATCAACATTTAAGGTACCATCGGAGCTGCGGGCCTTGTGCGGTATATCGGCCTGGCTAATGCGCAAAGACAAGGAGGATTGGAAAAAGTTGCCCTGTGAGAAACGTTGTGAGGCACTGAGACGGCGTAGTCTGAACATGGAATTCCCTGCCTCGCTGGCATAGGGACGATTGAGGGGAAAATGTTCCACCACTGGATGGGTTGGGATCCCAGACAATGAAACTTTGGAAGGTAGTCGTCTGAGACCTTTGGATTTCTTCGGTGATGTTGGCATGGTAGTGGGAATGATTTCTTCCTTTTCCTCGACAACTTTTTCTGTCGTTTCATAATGACAAGCTAGCGGTTCTCCCCAGTGACACAGATATTCGGGTAATTTGAAGGTCAACACAAACCAAGGGCATTCGGGATCAGTGGATGACTTTGATTCATTGACATTTCTATCTAATTTGGACATGCGACTCAGACTCAAGTGGCTCATTAGGCGTGTGGTACGCCTTCCCATAAATCGGGATGTGGGTGGTATAAATAGCTCCTGATCAATTTTCAATTTGGCATCATTATAATGCCAGGTCATATTGAAGCGATCAAAATCCAAATCCACATGTTGGGGTTTATGGACATAGTACAATTGATAGACACCGCCCAATATGAAGAACTTTTTCAGATTTATCTACAAGAGAACATTTTGTGAAAATAAAATTGATACAAAACTCCGAAAGCTTCCCCACACCTCATCACTATCCAAATCAAGAGTCTCCGGATTATAAATCATATTGATAAATGATTCGTATTGCTTTTGTTCCTCCTCCAAGAAATCAGGATAAATGTCGGGCACCATATCCGGCCCAATAATCGGAGGTTCTTTGGTGGGTTTTGTTATTTTTGATTTCATCGATTTTTTACCATCCCCTTCCGCTTGTTGTTTTTTACCTTTCTTCTTGGCCTGTTCTTCTTCATATTGCCGCATTTGTTCTTCATAATCCAAACGTTTTTGTAGAAGTTCTTGCCGTATTCGGGTTTGTAAATCCAATTGCATTAACCATTCATTGATGAGACATTCATGCAAATCCTGAATACCGGCATTTAAATTATCCACAGGGATGGAGATGATTTGGGAATAGCTTTTGGCTTTTTCACTCAAATGATCGAAATTCATGTGCAGGGCTCGTATTGTCAGATTTTCATATAACATGGTGGAGGGGATATGCAGATGTAGTTGGATTTCGTGGAAATTTGCCACTAAGCGTGGTTCACTAAGATAGGAAAAGGTGAGGTTAAAATTCACGACTTGTGTCGGAGATAGACCATGAAAAACTCAACATCTCTCTCATGACCCCTCAAAAAGTTTCCTTAAAAATCCACGCCTTGTGTCTCTGATGGCCCCTCAAAAAGTTTCCTTAAAAATCCACCACTTTATGCTATGATAGCCTTTCAAAAATTGTTCTTAAAAATCCACGCCTTGGTACTCTGATAGCCCCTCAAAAAGTGTTCCTAAAAATTCACGCCTTTATACTCGAATAGCCCATTTAAAATTGTCCTTCAAAATCCACGCCTTGATGCTATGATAGCCCCTTAAAGATGGCCCCTAAAAAATTGTGCTTAAAAATCCACGCCTTTATGCTCAGATAGCCCCTCAAAACTTGTCGTTAAAAATCGACGACTTGATGCTCTAATAGCCCCACAAAAATTATCCTTCCACATCCAGGCCTTTATGCTATGATAGCCCCCCAAAAGTTGTCCTTTAAAATCCACCCTCGATGATATGATAGTCCCTCAAAATTTGTTTAAAAATTCAAGCCTTGATGATCTGATAGCCCCTCAAAAATTGCTTAAAAATCTACGACATGATGTTCCGATAGCCCCTGAAAATTTTTTCTTAAAAATCCACGCCTTGTGTGTTTGATAGACCCTCAAAAAACCCTTAAAAAATCTTCTTTAAAAATCGACACTTTGTGGCTCTGATAGCCCTCTTGTAGGTTCTACTTACTCCAAATGTGAAATCCTGACAGGAACATTTTTCAAGGACCAAATATGCATTTGAAAATTATCGCCAGCGAAGCAGTACTCTATGGTAATGGGATCGACAGGCCTGAATTGAAAATAATCCTTGAAAAGGTTTCTTAAACAAAATTAGGAATCAAACTCACATCATGTAGGCCTCCTCGGAACACAAAATACGATATGCATAACGATTAAACAATTCTAAAATTTCCTCTTGCACACGGAACTTCAATTCCTTGATATCTTCTAAATTTGCCAGAGGACATTTGGCCACTTCTACATCATTATCGAGAAAATATTCAATGCGTCGAATAACTGCCAGGCAATCATTAATGTAATTATTATATTCCCGACCAAACTCCGGTTTTATTTGATCGCTCAAATGCGATCGTGTCAGATTTTTACGAAATATATTTTGAGCTAAAATACTGCGATCATCCACCGCCAAAGGCCAATCGATATTGGCCTCTAGATTTTTTTCTTCGAAAAAGTTTAATTTTGTGAAAAATATCCGCAAATCTGGTGGTAAATAGGGTTTCGGCAATGGATTGCAGGTCACAAAATTTCGCCATTTATCGGCAATCAATTGTAGTTCATTTAATTTTTCCACCTGTACGAGGGCCTCTGAAAGGTCAGATCTTGAAAAAATGCAATTTATTTGAGGAATGTGATATTACCATCAATGAAATTCAAACATATCCTCAAATCATTTAGGCGATTAGAATATTTTTGCTCCCGGGCCTTCACTTCATCGAGGGTAATGAATTCATAAACTTTTTCCGGTGGTCCTTTGGGAGTTTTCTCTTTTTTCCCCTTTTTGGCTTTTGGAGGCATTTTTTGAATTTTTTTTTCGGTAAACAATATTTTCAGTTTTGACTTTTATTCCAGTACTCGGAAAATAATAAAAATAAAGGAAGGATTTTTGAGGGTCTATCAAAGGCACAAGGCGTGGATTTTTAAAGAAGATTTTTTGAGGGTCTATCAAAGGCACAAGGCGTGGATTTTTAAAGAAGATTTTTTTAGGATCTATCAAAGGCACAAGGCGTGGATTTTTAAAGAAGATTTTTTGAGGGTCTATCAAAGGCACAAGGCGTGGATTTTTAAAGAAGATTTTTTGAGCGTCTATCAAAGGCACAAGGTGTGGATTTTTGAATAAGATTTTTTCAGGGTCTATCAAAGGCACAAGGCGTGGAATTTTAAAGAAGATTTTTTGGGGGTCTATCAAAGGCACATGGCGTGGATTATTAGAGAAGATTTTTTGAGGGTCCATCAAAGGCACAAGGCGTGGATTTTTAAAGAAGATTTTTTGAGGGTCCATCAAAGGCACAAGGCGTGGATTTTTAAAGAAGATTTTTTGAGGGTCTATCAAAGGCACAAGGCGTGGATTTTTAAAGAAGATTTTTTTGAGGGCCCATCAAAGCCACAAGGCGTGGATTTTTAAAGAAGATTTTTTTGAAGGCCCATCAAAGCCACAAGGCGTGGATTTTTAAAGAAGATTTTTTGAGGGATGCTTGTCGCTTATTTGGACATTCCAAATTCCCACATTGACGTCAAATATTTTTGTTTAAAAATTTCGTATGACGCTATAAATCTCTCTACACTTTGCGGTTTTAAATTGAACAATTGTTTAGTCATTTTATATTCTTAAAATTCTTAGATATAACATCTAAATATTAAATTACAAAAATAAAACCAAAAAACATATTTGGAGTTGAAACACATGGTAAGCCCACAAATTAGAGGTCGATTTATCAGTTACTTTTAATCTCCACCGAAAAAATAAATATTTTAAATGTCCACAAGTGTTGTTGCACAAATCCGAGACGGTCGCTTCATCCATTCCAGCCACTCATTAAGTAGGGTCCAAAGATTCTTATCAATCGAAAGGAAGCAAAAACAAACAAACGAAGAGAAAAAATAAAACACATTGCCGAAAGAAACCATCACTCCGTACACACTTAAGTGTGTCTAAGCGGTTGTCAAGTGGTATGTATGATGGTGTAGGGCCAATAGTTTCAAATTATAATTATTTTTTGTTATACTTGTTTAAAATAAACACACAGCATTTCAGATTTGAGGAGAACAAACATTGTGATTTATGAATTCTTATACGAATATCTTAGATAATCTGGAGCACTATGAACATGGGTTTCCCCCATCGAAAATATAAATGATTATCAAGTGAAAGGTCATGGTAAATGATGAAACTAAGAGATATCGTATTTTTTTCTCAGGTTTAATAAAATTTTTATGTGATGAATCATATTTTTTTGGGGGTGGGGGTAGAGTGATAATCTTTGACTTTTTCTCGGGCTTATCATTAGGCCAGAAAACATTTTTAAATCATTAGAATTACTACTTTTTCAATTTTCCCTTAAAATCTCCAAAAATTTGAACATTAGGAATTTTGTGATAAAAGAAAAAAAAACTGAAAAACGTGATTCTAGAAAAATTGTGGGCGTCTTTCATGTAATTAAAACCATTGTTGCATTCCATTTCATTATGGTGTTGTTGTATTTTTTTCATTTTGTTGAAAACAAAATAAATAGTACCTTTCGTTCTTTGTTTTAGAGGGAGTTGTTAAATGTTTTACTTTGGTGGATAAATATAGTATACACGCAAGGAAAAAATTAGTCAAAAACTCTCTCAAAACAGTTAAACAAATTAACGAATGTGTCTTTAATAGTTCCTCAAAAACAAAAAAAAAATTAAAAAATCCAGGGCACGTGGCCCCGTTGGTTTCTTTAAAAATCCACGCCTTGTGGCTTTGATGGGCCCTCAAAAAATCTTCTTTAAAAATCCACGCCTTGTGGCTTTGATGGGCCCTCAAAAAATCTTCTTTAAAAATCCACGCCTTGTGGCTTTGAAGGCTCCTCAAAAAATCTTCTTTAAAAATCCACGCCTTGTGGCTTTGATGGGCCCTCAAAAAATCTTCTTTAAAAATCCACGCCTTGTGGCTTTGATGGGCCCTCAAAAAATCTTCTTTAAAAATCCACGCCTTGTGGCTTTGATGGGCCCTCAAAAAATCTTCTTTAAAAATCCACGCCTTGTGGCTTTGATGGGCCCTCAAAAAATCTTCTTTAAAAATCCACGCCTTGTGGCTTTGATGGGCCCTCAAAAAATCTTCTTTAAAAATCCACGCCTTGTGGCTTTGATGGGCCCTCAAAAAATCTTCTTTAAAAATCCACGCCTTGTGGCTTTGATGGGCCCTCAAAAAATCTTCTTTAAAAATCCACGCCTTGTGGCTTTGATGGGCCCTCAAAAAATCTTCTTTAAAAATCCACGCCTTGTGGCTTTGATGGGCCCTCAAAAAATCTTCTTTAAAAATCCACGCCTTGTGGCTGTAAGGGCCCTCAAAAAATCTTCTTTAAAAATCCACGCCTTGTGGCTTTCATGGGCCCTCAAAAAATCTTCTTTAAAAATCCACGCCTTGTGGCTTTGATGGGCCCTCAAAAATTCTTCGTTAAAAATCCACGCCTTGTGTCTTTGATAGCCCCACAAAAAAATCTTCTTTAAAAATCCACGCCTTGTGGCTTTGATGGGCCCTCAAAAAATCGTCTTTAAAAATCCACGCCTTGTATTGATGGCCCTTGAAAAAATATTCTTTAAAAAATCCACGCTTTTTATAGTCCTTGAAAAAATATTCTTTAAAAAATCCACGCTTTTTATAGTCCTTGAAAAAATATTCTTTAAAAAATCCACGCCTTTTAAAGTCGTTGAAAAAATATTCTTTAAAAAATCCACGCCTTTTATAGTCCTTGAAAAAATATTCTTTAAAAAATAGTCCTTGAAAAAATATTCTTTAAAATATCCACGCCTTTTATAGTCCTTGAAAAAATATTCTTTAAAAAATAGTCCTTGAAAAAATATTCTTTAAAAAATCCACGCCTTTTATAGTCCTTGAAAAAATATTCTTTTCCTTCTTTAGTCCTTGAAAAAATATTCTTTAAAACTGAATAGTTCCACTTCAAACTGCCTTTTTTCCTCCAGTGTACGATTTTAGAACAATGTTAGGTTTATTCTAAAAAAAAAAGTTTTAAAATTTTGTTCTTCTTTAAATTACGTTAGAGGGTGTGTGTGTGCGTGGTTTAAACCAACTGGCGTGTATACCTGAACTTCATGCGAAGTTTAATGACAGAGACCCTGTGTTAACTTTGTTCGTTCGTTTTTTCGTATTTTTCTCATCTTCCTGCAACTTGTTTTTTATTTTTAACATGCTTTTCATGTTTTTGGGGTATTTGTTTTCATGTTACTTTTCAACGTTGTCGTCGTCGTTTTTTGTCTGGAAAATAAATAGTCATCGTCTACAAAATGTTATCCATTCTGTTTTACTTTTTGGGGATTCTTTACATTGTGCGTACCTTCATTTCATCCATGACTAGGTTCTTTTTTTAGATGGTTGGTTTTTAATATGACTATATTTTTTGGGTTGTTTGGTTTCTGGGTAAGAACAACAACAACAATACACATACTTTGTTCTAACTGACCAATCTCCTTGTTTTATGTTGTTGCTTCTTTTTTGTATTAATTATTGCTTTTGTGTGTGTGCGAGTGATTGTGGGCGTAGAAGGCAGATGATGCGGTCTTTTTTTCTGCCGGCCAATGTAAACGTTCATTTAATGAGGTCGACCATTAATGTGGTGTTAGGAGATATAAATATTTTTTTTTTTTCATTTTGCAAGTAATTGGTCCCCGGTGAGTTTTGTAAGGAATTTTTTTAACCAAAGCCTAAATATGGTGAAAAAAAGATAAACTCAAATAAGAGTAAAAGTGTGTAGCCCAGAGGTCTAATTTTTCCCATCATGAATTTGTGGTTTTATTTATTGCATTTCTACGGCTATTAAAGGTGTTTAAAGAAAAACCACACTGTAAATATATCACAAAGGAGATTTGGTAAATAATGGGAGAGAGGAAAGAACTGAAAAAATATGCTACAGTTGGTATGATAAACAATATTCAGATTGTGAGTACAGGCGCAAAGGGTTGTATAGGTAGGATGAACTTAAAAGGAGGTGATTCCGGTTTTCTTATTTTATTCGAATTATCTTGAGAAAGTAAATACGTAATATCAATAATTTCTTGGTCCTTAGATGGAATTGGGATATTAATAGAGAAAGCCTTGGAATGGGAATTAGTTTCAAAAATATGCTAATTTTGAATATAAATTTAAACGGTTTAAGTATTCAAAGAATTTTTATTATTATTATTTATTTTTTTTTTTCATCAACCATAGAAGTGTATTTTTTAAATAACATTTTTTTAAGGGCCACCACAGGTGTGGATTTTTTAAATAAAATTTTTCAGGTACGTGAATTTTTAAATAAATTTATTATCAAAGACTGTCAGGCGTGGGTTTTTAAGGGAAATTGTTTATCAAGAACAATCAGGCGTGGATTTTTTAAAGAAATGTTTTATCAAGAACAATCAGGCGTGGATTTTTAAAAGAAATGTTTTATCAAGGACTATCAGGAGTGGATTTATAAAAGAAATGTTTTATCAAGGACTATCAGGAGTGGATTTATAAAAGAAATTCTTTATCAAGGACTATCAGGAGTGGATTTATAACAAAATAATCAAGGACTATGAGGAGTGGATTTTTAAACGAAATTCTTTACTAAGTATTTTCAGGAGTTTATTTATAAAAGAAATTCTTTATAAAGGACTATGCGTGGATTTTTAAAAGAAATTCTTTATAAAGGACTATGCGTGGATTTTAAAAGAAATTCTTTATAAAGGACTATGCGTGGATTTTTAAAAGAAATTCTTTATAAAGGACTATGCGTGGATTTTAAAAGAAATTCTTTATAAAGGACTATGCGTCGATTTTTAAAAGA